CCCCCCCCCCCCCCCCCCCCCCCAAACTTTATGTGTACCCATCTATCATGTTTATTTATCCCCAGACCAATCCCATATCATATCATATACCCATTGGCCATCCATAGATGTACATCCCATTCACCACAGCAAAATCACCTTTCTCTTCAGCGTCTTACAACGGGTCATCGATTTGCGTACTCATCCACCTACTTAGGCAACTGCTCCTCCGCCGCCTTCGCCCACGTCCTAAACCACTCCAACGCCTCTGGATTCGCCACACTCGCATTCGTCTTCACCTTTAGCCCACTCAAAATCTGCTTAACAGCAACCTCAATCTTCTTCCCATTCCCGGTCCTCGGAATGCCCGCCGGTCCGCATTCCTCCACCACGCCCGGTACATGTCTAGGACTCAATTCGCGCTTAATCACGTTCTTGATCCGATCCCTCAGTTCCGAACTAAACGACTTGCCGGGCACCATGACCACAAAAAGGCAAACGGTCTCATCACGATCAAACTCGCGTCTGCGGCCTACGCACACCGCGTCTTCGACTTCAGAAGCAAAAAAGCGGGTGAGCACGTTGTAGATCTCGGCAGACCCGAAGCGGACGCCGGCGGGCTTGAGCACGCCGTCGGAGCGGCCCAGCATGACCAACGCCCCCGTGGACGGGTTCATGCGCACAAAGTCGCCGTGGTGCCACATGGTCGTGCCGAAGCGCTCAAAGTAAGCGGCACGGTACTTGTCGTCGCCTCCGGGGCCGAAGAAAGTCAGAGGTTGGCAGGGGAACGGCTTGAGGCAGACGAGATCGCCTTCGGAGCCGACGGGGTCGACAGGGCGGGGGTCGGAGGCGTCGGAGGCAGAATCGATTACGCTGATGGCCATTCCTAGACCGGCGCATTGGACTTCTCCCGCCCGGACCGGGAGAAGAGGGCAAGGGGCGCCAAAGAGGGAGATGATGTCTGTGCCGCCGGTGATAGAGGCTAGGTTGATGGTAGAGGGAAAAGCAGTGTAGACGAAGGCAAAGGTGGAAGGGGGGAGGGGGGCGGCGGTGGAATAGATGGCTTCGAGAGAAGAGAGGTCGAGGTTGTGGACGGGATCAATGGGGCGTACGTTGTTGGCTTCGAGCGTGGTCAGGTAGGCGGCCGAGGTGCCGAAGTGGGTTACCTTCAGGGAGGAGAGCAGGCGCGGGAGGGATAGGTACCCGTGCGGGCGGAAGGGGGAGCCGGAGTAGAGGACCAGCGAGGCGCCACATGAGAGCGAGGAAACGGACCAGTGGTGCATCATCCACGAGGTGGTGGTGTAGTAGAGCATGCGCGATCGCGGGGAGAGGTTAGAGTGGATGAGGAGCTCCTTCTTGTGCTGGAGAAGGGTGCCGGCGGCGGTGTGGACGATGGCCTTGGGCAGGCCGGTGGTGCCGCTAGAATAGAGGACGTAGAGAGGATGTGAGGGAGGAAGCTGGGCGAAGACGAGGGGCTCCTCTTTGGGCGAGCTGTGAAGGAACTCATCGTACTCCTCGGCCTTGACGCCCTTGGCGCGGATCTCGTCCAGTCCGGTCTCGAAGTTCTGGAGGCCCTTAACTACGACAACGAGCTCGAGTCCGTGCTTCTGCAGCGCCTCGACGACCTCGAGGGTCTTGGCCTTGCCGGACCACTCCTTGCCGTTGTAGAGAGTGGCATTATCGGAGAAGAGAACCTTGGGCTTGATCTGGACAAGACGGTCCAAGACGGCACTGACACCATTATCAGGGCTGATTCCCGTCCAGATGGCACCGAGGGAGGCAGCACTCAGTAGGGCGACTAAGGCTTGCACGTGGTTGGCAACGAAGCCAGCAACAACACTACTTTCCTTCACTCCAGCAGCTCGGAGGGCATTGGAGCATTGCCGGACCTGCTCTCTCAGCTCGTCCCATGTGGTTTCGGTAAGGTGCTCGTCGTTTTCAGTGGCGGTGATGACAGCAACATCAGATCCGTTGACCTGGGCATTTCCAGGGAACAGGAGGTTCTCGGCGAAGTTTAGTCGGGCACCAGCAAAGAAGTCAGGCCTAGGGAACATGGGCGCATTTTCAGGGAGCACCTATAGTAGTCGACATGGTTAGTCTATTATAAGAAGCACTACACAGGTCTTTCCCTTATGTGCTGATTGGCTCGCCGTGTTTATTTCCCAATAGGGGTATGTTTAGGGGTATAGAGGTTCGCCGAAATAAATGTTGGGTAACCCTGACGACGAACTGCGGCCATCAACATGGGCAAATGAGATGAGGTGAAATGTGTTCAAGCGACGCCCGTATGAGACAACAGTTCACCAACCCATCGCATCTATAGCGAGATATTGTAGACATCCTTCCGGTCGTACAGTGTGCTTCGTGAACCGGAAGTGGGGGCTGAACAAAGTTGGGGTTGCCCGGGGTTCCCCATCTGTCCCCCCCTTTCCCTTGACCCCGCGGAAAAGAAAATGAGACGGTTCTTGAGAATGGAAAGCATATCATCCACGGAAGCCAGCGGGATCACATGAAGAAGGACAAAAATACTTAACCACCCACCTCATCGAACAGCTTGGAATGCCTGATACCGGTAAAGTGCCATGCCTCTTCCCAGAAGGCGGTAACGTTGTCGACTGACCACTTGTAGAGGGAGGGATAATCGTTGAGCTGGAGACCGTACTTGGAGTTTACATGCTCAAGGAACTTCCACATCTGCGTGGACTGGGGGTCCGGATGTCTCCAAAGCTCATTGGTGACCGTCATGGTGAAGAATTGGAGATGATTAAGAAATATATCCGTTTTGATAAAAGACGCGTGAAGCGAGAATGAAGTCAACTTCAAAGAAAGAGATGCGTGGGTGAGGAGTGATGACGATTCGGGTTGTCGCGGGGAAACTTCCACAGTTGGGTCCGGGGTAACGGGGACTTGGACAGTTATCAGATTCCGATGGCCGAAATGGAGAATCTGGGGTTCGTCAATCTCGAAAAGAGGCTCTAACTGTTGCTCCTCCACTTTGCGTCCAATGCCCAGACCGAGAGTGGGAAACGCGTGGTGGTCGAAGTGTTGTGCGGTTAGGGTGGGTGTACGTGATCACCGAGGCTTCTGCTAGGTAGGGACGGTTGAAGGTTCCCGTCACCGTTACCGGGGGGGTCCATATTTTCGGGCTTGTAAGCTACCTACACAGTAGAGTGCTGGGTTCACAGACCATAGTAGCGCCGCAGTCTGCTGGTTCAATGCCGGGGCGGGCATGCCGCTCGAGTGCCAGATGCCGCCGACGATGGCCGCCAGAATTGCAGAATGCCACAGCTGGCTGGAAAGGCGGAAAGGCGGAAAGACGGAAATGGAAGAAAACTCGATGCTCGAGTGGCCGAGATCGTCCTCCTCCACCCCTCCGCGTTCCGATGGGATGGATGGCCCGAGGTTTGATAGGGACCCGTCCAAAGCCGAGTCTGGGCAAAGCTAGCTGCTACCTTGTACTTCTATGTACACTAGACATTGGAAACCGCTGCAGGTTCGCCAAGTGTTTCCCAAAGAGGTCTTGGGGTTGTTCCGTTGCTATTGTTCGACAGACAGTCTTTCGAGTTTGAAGAAACCAGAAATATTCATATTTTTTGACTTGTTAGATCCAGCTGGACAAGACCAGCTTGTCGGAGAGTTGTGGAACGGTGTGTGGTTCTGTTGGAAAAAGTCGAGAAGGTCAAGTCCAAACTGCGGAGGCGGGGCCTCGCCGCAGTACATCCCGGATGAAGAAGCCATACCTTGCTTCCATCTCATCTTCCATCCCGTCAATCAATCAAATCAACATACGTACCTTGCATAGACTCAGCTGTCGGCATCCGTGATACCCATCAGCTCGAGGCAAGCCGTCATCATGATTCACGTCTCACGTCTGCAGTGATGGTCCTCCAAAAAGGTCTCTCTGTCTTCCTTGCTGTCGGGGTCAGCCAATTGCCAACGCAGACAGAGAGACAAAGTCACGCGATTGTTAGCAGTGCTTCTAGCGCGGCACAGGCCGGTTGCAATAGAAAAGGCGGCTGCAAGTCTCATGCGGTCCCGTGTGCTGCAATGCAGGCTCTGCATCACCACATCATCGCCATCAAACCGCTTCAGGACAGGCCGTGATCGCAGACCTTGACCGCCAAACTACAAAAGAGAGAATCCAGCAACCTGCGACGAGCTGCGATCATTCCTTGCGAAGGGCGAGCCATGTTCCAGTCTCTTTTTGCCAAGCGTCCGAGGTGTCCATATCTTGGTGGAGAACCGCCATCACACCATGGGCGCATCAATGCAGCAGGGCTGTGGTTGACTGCTGGGGCTGATGATAATTCCGCCCTAGATCGTTGATCAGGCATCAACCCAAGGGCGAGAGAGTAATGTACATAGGCGATGCTGAGCGGGAGGATAATCCGTTGAAATTGGGCGTGTGGGAACTGGAAAGAGATGTGTGCTGTTCGCATCATGATATAGGGTTTTTTTTTCCCTGAGATCCCTTCATTTCCGAAGTGCTCGGTGGCAATGGTACACAACACATCGAGACACTCAGAGTTCCTTGCCTAGTCGGGAACAAGGTCGGCTGGTGATTGGCACATTCGCCGATGTGTCGCGCCTGGACAATTCCGTGTCCATGGTGCCTGCAGTGGCTCGAGGCGATCCCATCTCAGGAACGTACACTACTAATTGTCTAACATTGATCCTGTCGAGGTGCAGGCAGTGTCGGAGTCTTCCTGAGTCCGAGAGCCGTTGGAGTCTTGTCTCAAGCCATAACGCCGGCTTTATACCTTGACGATAGCTAGTAACGACCTGTCTATCACAGTCTGCTTGAGCAGAAGCCAGTGAGCCAGTTGGAAAAGAAACGTGCGAGCAAACGACACTTTGATCAGCTTCAAGAAGCACAAAGGCCGAGCAATTGATAAAAAGTCCCGTCATCGAGCACAAGACCACCAACCGATCCCACCGATCCGGAGTGTTCGGGAGATACGGAGGACCTTGGTTGGATGCGCTAACAAGTCCAGACTGCCAGTACTAAAGTACACGGTACACATCTCACAAGGGCGCGGCCGCATGATTCAGCGGTATCACGGTACATGACTGAATAACGCCAACAACAGCTCAAGTCTCCAATCGTTGCTCTCTTGTCAGACTCGCAGTGACTGGCCAAATTAACGTGTGGCTGCGAAGCAACGAAAGCAACACCGGGGAGACCGGGGTCAACAGCTCGCTGGCAGTGCCGCGCTCATTGGCCGTCCGCAATCGGGTCCCACAATTTCGGACGGCTGCGGTGGGAATATGGTGGACTGGGGTGGATTTTGTCGCTCCGACTTGTGGTGGGTTGTCTTTGAACCACTGGTGAGCTGCCCGCTGTTGTGATGCCTGTGCCCCTTTCCGCAATTCATTGAAATCTTCTGCCTCGTCCACTCTTTTCCCAGACAGCCGACGCCCTCGACTCTTCCAAGACAACCGTGACCTGTCCTGCACATCAACAAGGGGCGAGGGTGTAGCAGAGTCGTAAAAGGGCGACACTCGACTGCGACGACAAGCGCGACGACGTTCCCCTCTCTTAGTTTGCTTTTCTTCCCGCCGACACCGCCTACCGCTACCGCCCAAGAGGTTCCGTCGCGACCGCCTTTTTGTCTCCAAAACTATAATCGCTCGATCCAGTTTTCAATCTCGTCGCCGCCTTTGTACGTTGCTCTTGGAGGCTGTTGTACCTGTACACACGTCTTGGATGATAGGGCAGGTGAGTGTTTCGAATACTGCTTTCCATCTTCCGTCTCTCCCTTTTCCTCGCGGCGGAGCCAAGGCGATGGATAGGTGTTGCACCCAGGCGGTAAATGGACGGGAATGGTTGGAAGTGGAAGCTGCTCCTGTTGTACACCCGCAAGGGCATCTTGGTATCTGGGAGCCGCTACCACATGCAAGGAGCTTGATTGGACCTGCATTGGCAGCGCTGTGCATTGCCTGCGTCTCGTCATTTGACATGGCCATCATATGTTTCGAGCATGCGAAAGCGGCATACCAGCATAGCATCTCCACAGTTGCTCTGTGGTTAGCAGGAACTCCATCATTCCCAAATTGTTGCGATAACTCGTCTTCTCCCTTGGCTTCGCTCGCGGCCCGTCTCATTATCAAGTAATCCTTCTAGGCCACCTTGCTGATATCTCTCTATTACAGCATCTGTTGGAGTTAGCATTTGCGCATCGCTCTACCTCCTACGCGTCCTGAAAGCGGCGGTCGTCTGCTTGTATCCAACCACCTAGTTGCGCCCTCACTTGCGCCCTAGACATGCCCCGAAGGATTACCAACCCTTTTTCCTCCTCCTCCTCTTCCTCCACTATGCCGAACCCTGACAGGGCCGCCGAGCGAAGGCCGTCTCTGTCCAAAGCCACCCGCATCGCCCAGTTCTTCTCTTCGCCCAAGAGCAAGGATCAGCTCTCGGAAAAGCAGGCCCTCCAGGCCATGCAACAGAACCAGGGCGCCGGTACGGCGACAAGCATTTTGTCGCTGCCCTCCATTTCACTCTCCGAGGACCTCAACAGCCATGAGTCCACCACTCTTTTCCAGCCCCCCTCCCTCGAGGAAACGCTCAAGCGCCAACGCGCCGAGGCCCAGTTCGGTCCTCTGAACAGCCAGAGCCACCGCTACATTAGCACACACGATGGCAGCACTCTCGAGCCGCCCGTTGAAGACGAGCCCCCATATTATTACGTCCTCACTACTTATCTCAGCTACCTTATCCTAATATTCTTCGGTCACGCCCGCGACTTTTTCGGCAAGAGATTCGGCGACCAGAACCACTACAAGGCACTCCGGGCTCAGAACGGCTACGCACCCCTGAACGACGATTTCGACAACTTCTACGTTCGCAGACTCAAGATGCGCATCGACGACTGCTTCGCCAGACCCACCACTGGCGTCCCTGGCCGCTACATCACTCTCCTTGACCGCAAGTCTGATGACTTCAATCGCAACTACCAGTACACCGGTACCTGCACCGAGACCCTGAACATGAGCTCGTACAACTATCTTGGTTTCGCCCAGTCCGTTGGCCCTTGCGCCGATGCCGTTGAGGAGTGCGTTCGCAAGTATGGCCTCAGCGCCTGCAGCCCTCGCGCGGATACTGGTACTTCTGATCTCGCTCTCGAGGTTGAACGCGAAATTGCAAAGTTCGTTGGCAAGCCCGCTGCCATGGTTTTCTCGATGGGCTTCGTCACCAACGCTGGTTCCTTCCCTGCGCTCGTCTCCAAGGGTGATCTCATCATTTCCGATGAGCTCAACCACGCCTCCATTCGTATCGGTGCCCGTTTGTCTGGAGCGGTCATCAAGTCGTTCAAGCACAACAATATGGAGGATCTCGAGAAGCTGCTTCGTGAGGCTATTGCCCAGGGTCAGCCCCGCACTCACCGCCCCTGGAAGAAGATCCTTGTCGCTATCGAAGGTCTCTACTCGATGGAGGGAACCATGTGCGATCTGCCCGGTATTTTGGCTCTCAAGAAGAAGTACAAGTTCTTCCTCTACATCGATGAGGCTCACAGTATCGGTGCTGTTGGTGCCAACGGCCGTGGTGTCTGCGATTACTTCAATGTCGATCCTGCTGAAGTTGATATTCTCATGGGAACTTTGACCAAGTCTTTCGGTGCTAATGGCGGTTACGTTGCGGCCGAGAAGCACATCATCGATAAGCTCAAGGCTACCAATGCCGCTACCCTCCTTGGTGAATCGCCTGCTCCTGCTGTTCTGATGCAGATTCTCGCTTCGCTCAAGATTATTGAGGGTGAGCTTGTTCCCGGTCAAGGCGAGGAGCGTCTTCAGCGCATTGCCTTCAACTCTCGCTATCTCCGTCTCGGTCTCAAGCGTCTTGGCTTCATTGTTTACGGCCACGACGACTCCCCTATCATTCCCGTCATGCTTTACAACCCCGGCAAGATTTCTGCTTTTAGCCACGAAATGCTGAAGCGCAAGATCGCGGTCGTCGTTGTTGGATATCCCGCTACACCTCTCATCAGCTCTCGTGCCCGCTTCTGCGTATCAGCTGCACACAACAAGGACGATCTTGATCGCCTCCTTGCTGCCTGCGACGAAGTGGGTGACATTCTCCAGATCAAGTTCTCTACCGGTGTCGCGGGAGGTCTCGAACCCTTGCCTGCAGGTGTTACCCCCGAGATGGAGAAGGAGTACATTAAGGCTAAGGGCCAGGCTCTCATCAAGCCACCTAGGTGGAAGCTGGAGGACGTCATTGCACGTGGTGTCGAGGACGCCAAGCGGACACTGAGGTAAAATGCTCGTTGGACGATTGTGTGTGGTAGCGCCTGGCACTCACTTGAAAGGGCCGGTGCAATTGTATATATAGTACTAGGCGGCTAGGGCACGCTAACCATGTGCCTCCTCTTGGGAATCTTCTTTGCCCTTTGGGCATCATGAGGATGTCGATTGACATCTCTCTTTTCTTTCCTGCTATCGGCAGGATTTTCATGGTTTTAATGAGGGTATGCCAGGGATGGGCCTAATGTTTAAAACGTTCAAGAGAAAGCAATGGGACGGAAGCCGAATGAGCAAAGCATGGCCTATTGCAAAGGTTTGCTCATTTAATATGATATCAGCTTTGGAGTTGGGTTGGTTAGGGTGATCAACTGTACGAAAATGAATGTGCACAAGGGGGTCTTAATGACGCACAAAGCAATAGACCACTATAAAGGAAAGATCCTTCAATGTAAAAACATATCACAATGAATCATTACATATATTAACTCAACGCTACATAGATCTTTTGGTCTGTCTGGATATGTAATCTTGGACTGCTCTGGTGAGTGTGGTACAGGCAGACCACTTCATCCTCCTCCAATACTACCCCGCCTAAAACACGTGAACCCGCGCTCATCACCACTTTTTTTTTTCATCATGGTACGACGCGAGCTTCATCCATCAGCGCGTCGCATTTCCAATAGACTGGAGACTTGCGATGAATTGTGCAGCTTTTTAGGCATGAATCCGGATACTGCACGTGGGATTGTGTCTTGCAGCATCGTGCCTCAAACCTCGAAGTGCTTGCTCATCAAATCGCCTCGCTCGACTCCTCCACCTCGTCCACTATCTTCCACCTTGCTGTTAAACGACGGATTTTGCCTGATCGACAAGCATCAATCGAGATCGCCGATTCAAGTCGATCGTTAAAACATCAATTCAACTCTCACTCAGCTTTGCATCCTTACTGGCATTCTCTCAAATCCAGGACAGGCCTCTTCCGTTTGCATCCTGCGCCACTTTGACCTCTCTGCATCGCTTTTATCCCATTCCTCAAACCAACACCCATTTCAACCCAGAGCCGCAACCATGCCACCAGGGAAAAGGACCAGAAAGCCGAGACAACAAACCTTAGAGGCTTCCTTGGGTGAGTTTGCCGTCAAATCTATGGTACCCTTCCGAACCATTCGTCTATTCATTCCCCCTCATTCTTCCCTCACTCGTAGCGGATTTGACCAACCTCATTGACCTTGATCTAACAAAAACTCCCAAGGCCAACCAAGAATCAAACCCCCAACCGTCAAGAAAATATCTACCCGCAGCAGCAGTTCCAGTACGAGTACGAAAGGCAAAGAACCACTGGATTTGGCCAGATCCCCAGCGGCGACAGCCATGGCCCCGGCGCGACAGCGACAGCGACAACGGGAGGACATCTCCCCAGACCGGCAACTCCCCGCCTCCTCAGCAGTCTTCATCCCCAAGATCTCCACAGCCGAGGCCAAGAAGCGGACCATCGTCATTGACGACGACTCGGACTCTACTTCCGAGGCGGAAGACTACGGTGGGGCCGCGTTTGAGTATGACGACTTACCTGTGTTTTCGTCCCAAGCTGTAGTGACGGTAACACATAACCCCCGCGCTGCTGCCTCTGCTGCTGCTGGTAGTCGTGATCAAAAGGAGGTTATTGTGCTGGATGAGGAGGATGAGGATGACGACATGCCGCTGCCTACTCAGCGTACTAGAGGTGTGAAGAGGCAGATGGCGGCTGTGTCTGATGAGGATGAGGATGAAGATGAGGGGAAGCGTGAGGGCAACGTCAAGGAGAAGGCTGGGGTTGATGACGAGGGCGAGGAAGAGGACTCAGACTCTGACCGAGTTTTGTCGTCGGCAGTCAGGAAAAGGGCAACGAGGCGCGGTGGAGTGAAGGAGTCGAGTCCGACGAAGAAGAGACGGCTGATCAGGAGAGGGAATCCATCCTCGGCAAGCTCGGCTAAGGAGGAAGAGAATTCAGATGATTATAAGCCTCGTCGCCTAGGCAAGGGCAGGCTAAAGGTTGCTACCGGTACGGGTAGCTCATCTGCTGCCACGTCCTCAACAGAATCACGACCCGTTAGGGCCAAGCGTCGAGTCAAAAAGCCCATGACGGAGAAGGAGAGAGCGAGAGAGCTACTGAGGCGCAAGCGGGTGGGCGAACCTATCGATGACTTGGAGAACGTGGAGGAAGATGAGGACTCGGAGGTCGAGCTACCTAAAAGGGGCTACTACGACACAGACTCGGATAATCCTGCTCTTTCGGAGTTTGAGGACGAGGAAACGGACGAGGAAGAGATTGTCAAAGAAGAGGAGATGGAAAAAAAGAAGGGAAAAGGAAAGACGGAAACGAAGGACAGCAAGAAGACCAGAAAGAAAGACAAGAAGGGCAAGAAGCGAAGAGAGATATCCCCTGATTCGGAGGATACCGAAGACAACGACGAAAAGCGCAACGCAGGTTCCTATGAAGATGAAGAGATGCAGGATTTCATCTCTGAAGACGACTCCGACGCCCCTATTGGCGCACCCGACGAGATTGGTATCCCGCTCGAGTTCACTAGGCACGCACATAAGCCGCTCAAGGAACACTTCCGCGACGTAGTTGAGTGGCTAGTTCATTACAAAATCCACCCTAAATTCCCGGAGAAAACTGCCGGGTTGTATAGGCTCGGCTGGAGGAAGCTCGATGATGAGGTCCGTGGCTTGGCCCAGAGTAAGTTCGCTTCTTCGGCTTGGAAGACGGACTTTTACATGGCGTTAAGGGCCCGGCCCTATTATACTAGTGGTGAGACGCATGAGCAAAGTATTTTCTTTAGCAACTGCGCGGCGTGTGGAAGGAGCGGACATCCTGCAAAGTGAGTTGTTATGTCATTTTTCTTTTCCCTTTCTTTCCCCTCAAAACTAACCTCACCACCCGCCACCCAGATTTGAAATCGCCTTCTCTGGCTCCCCTTATTACAAAGATTTTTCCCACCCAAGATTCCTCGAAGCCGTCCCCAACAACAACCCCTCCCCTTCCCCCGATGACGAAGGCGGTGATCCAGATGAGAACGATGCTGACGGCAACACCATCCCCGCCGCCTCGCGACACTGGAAGATTGGCTCTGTATGCCACTCCAACGCCGAGACGGCCCACAACCTGCTGCACTGGCAGTACGCCCTGCTGGACTGGGTCGACACCCGCCTATCGGAAGACGGACACCTGGCTGCTGCTGCTGCTATTTCGAAAAAGCGCGAGGGTGAAAGCAAAGAGAAGCGCAAAAAGAGAACAACAAAAAAGAAGTATAAGCTGGTGGCCAAGATTGTGAGCGAGTGGGAGGCGAATGGCACGGTCAAGGCGCTGTTTCGCGAGTTTAAGGATATGCTGGAGGCGGCGAGGAATAAGAGCACGGCGGGGCCGAGGGTGCAGAAGAGGTGATTTACGTGAGGTACGGAAGGGATATAACTACCTTACCCCTGTGGGAGCCCAAGGAGACTGGTTGGGGGAAGGAGGGAATTGCCTTGCATGTTTGCGTTGAAGGCAGTGGGCGGCTCTATCTCGGAAAGGAGGAAGGAGCAAAGGCCCTTGTGGTGGTAGAAGTGGCATGTGGCAGCCTTGCTCAATATGCGGCCGAGTTTTTTCTTGCTTTGTTTCAAAGACGGTTGGGGAAGGACTTCATTTTCCTGACCTGTTTGGCCGCTCAGCTTTTACAGATACCTATTATCCTGGCAGTCAATTCGACACTAAACATCACTTCCGCTCTTTCCATTCCTATAACTTCACTCAACAACCATACTCTCAATCGCTTTTTCAAGGGCCACCAATAGCAGTAGTGATCGGACCCGTCTCAATGTAGATGCCAGAAAAGTAGAAGTCCTCCGTTGTATCGCCATACCCGTTCCTAGGAAGCTCCAGGACGCCCAAGTGCCAATCCGCACCGTTAGACGAAGTTGAGACTGAAACAGGGGCGACGACTTGCTTCAGAGGCTCGCCGCCCTCGGAGTGCCAGAAACCGACCTTGTTGGCGCTGAAGTCCTGTGTATCGTTGCAAAAAAAGACAAATCAGTTTCTACTCCATTACTAACATTCATGACGGACTTTCCGTTCAACCCAACCCAACCCAACCCAACGTAACAAATCGAAAAGGACTTACAATCTCATAAGCAACATTATGCCAAACCCCCGCCTTCCACTCCGTCTTCCACCCACTCCTCTGATTCGTCATCCATTGCAAGTTGGGATTACTTGTCCCTGACTCCCCGGAAATCCATCCACTCTTCAACTCGGTAAAATGACTTTCAAAGAAACAAATTTGATGTTCCCTATACACACTGGGCGCATTCTTGTCGCTCCTCATGATGCTGAAATGATAGTACACTTTTCCCCTGTTAATCGCTTCCTTGGTCTGCGGGATTAGTTCGATACGGCGCATGTTCTGCCCGTTCCAGTACGCCGTGTTGTCGAGCGTGAACCGGGCGCCCTGGCGGGAGCGCGTGTCGTTGGGGTTTTTGTAGGCTTCGGAGAGGGATATGTACTTGTCGACGGGGGAGGAGCCGTGGATGTAGTATTGGTAAGGACCGACTTGATTGGACCAGGACCACTTGTTGAGGTCCGAGGCAGAGGTGAAGTCATTGAAGCGGCCGTCCCAGAGGAGGGTGGCATGGGTGGTTGAAAAAGCCGAAAGAACAGCGGCTAGGAGAGTGGTTGACTTCATTTCTTTTTGTGGTTGAGATGTGGGTATGAAGTGAAGGAGAAAATAGTGTCGAGGTGAAGGGGAGGTACACAATATGGGGGGATCAGAGGGAGGTTAAAGTACATCTTTGGGGGGCAAGAGAGAGAGAAATGCGGGTGTTTGTAGTATTTAGGACTTGTGTTCACACACAAGCAACCTATGCATATGGTAGTAATTAACTTGCATTTTCTCCGAAGATGGATGTATCAAAGAGTAATATGGGAGAGGGAACAACGTTCCGTTACTGGAGGAAGAACAGCTCATGCACAGAGTTGGAGTGCAAATTGCGGACGGCAGCTTCCGATCTTCTACGTACGGGCGATATTGATCAGCAGGATCGATGCCCTCGCAGTTTAGCCTGTAATGATCTTCCCCCGGCATCAACCACATGGGGCTGACTATAGCCTATTGGAGGCTTCATGGAGATTCTCAGCCGTTGCGTGATTGATAACCTTGACTGCTTGATCGAATCCGGGTCAGGCTGTCAGAATGCATTGGACTGTTGTAGCTTTAGCAACCTCACGACTTTTACCTCGGAAAGCATGGCAAGTGCGATAGTTTCCTGTCTTAAACCTAGACCACTGTCTAAACTAAATTCTGATGAGGATTACTGTTCTGAAGATGTCACCCCAAGGATCCTGGAAGGAAAAATTCTTACCGAGACACGACGATCGCGTTGTGTGGCCCAGCACGTTAAGATGAACAAAGTGCGCGGCGCTGATGAACCATTACCCAGGCTAGAAAACCAGAGATCCCAAACGAAACGATAAAAGAAACCCAACTCGCTGCATCTTCTCATAATTGCCCGCTCTTCCGAAGGTATGACTGCCCACAACTGTAGCGTATGGTACGTATCCAATGGTCTATACTCCGTGATGAGTTGACATAGAGTTGAGGTCAAGTTCGACCAAACAATGTTCCAAAGGTCGAACGTTTACGGCAGGCTTTTAGTACTCCATGCCACCGAAGCTCTTGTTCCGGACAAGAGTTGCACGTTCGAGACTCGCTCGTGGAGGCTGATCGAAAGAGCGGCTTCGACTATGTACATTCGGTCTCGGAGCGGCATCTCCTTCCTCTACCGCACTGATTTCGTCATAGGTGACAGTAGGCTCGTCCCGAATGCGGTGAATGAAGAGGGCCGAGATTAAAACTGTGATACCACCGAGAGCCAAGACAATGGCAATACTGTGATCACCGGGCGTTCCTCGAGGTTTCTGAAAGAGGCGGAAAATGATGCTGCTTGCTACCGTAGCAATGATTTGCGGTGCGGCAATTGCCATGTTGTGAATGCCGAGGATCACACCTGCCTGATCCGCTGCTTCTTCATCATCTTTGCCCAGGTCGCTGTCCTGGTTTCCATCGGACGAGTACCCATCCAGGGTGTCGAGGCGACTGGGTGAAAGGCGCTGTTGCTGAGACCGCCGTTCCTCGTCACGCTGAGATATTTCAGCGCTGATGATTGCCCAGGGCGCCCATAGTGTCAAAGCCCAGGTGATGCCGACGAGACCAATGAGAACAGTGGCTGCTGTAACGGTTCGTACGAATACGGTACAAAGCATACAGCCAGTGAATAGTATTTGCGAAAACATCCAGGCACGGCGAAGTGTGAATCCGGGGATGATCAGATGACGGGTCCATGACCTCTGTTCGGGCTCGTAATCCTTAATTACTACTGCAGGAGCCTCGCCAGGGGCAACGGCCGTAACCATCGATTGGTCGTAGGTTGGCGCGATGAAGAATGGCAGGAAGATGTTTGTGGCCAGACTTGTGATGGCAAAAATGAGCAAGGCAAAAGTGCCAACCTGTGTTGCCCTTTCATACAACTCGTCGAGCTCCTTGTCAGTCATATTCGGGTTTTCTTCGAGATATGGCTCGGCGTAAATCTCTCCAATGTAGGATGAAGTATAGAAGAGCATGGGGAAGAAACCGATCCAGGCACAGAACTGGACTTGGCAGACTTTCTTGGTTTGCGGCGGCAGGCGTTTGATCGATGTGAAAATCTTCTTGAAGAAGGCAACCACCCCAGGCTTGTCCTTTGCTGGAGGTCCCTCGAGTCTTGGATCCCTCTCCTTGATGAAAAGGCAAGTCATGAGAACGGTTGTACCGAGGGCAAGGCTGGCAATACCACAGAGTTCCTTGAACTGACTATCCCCAAGCCACCAAAAGACTGGGGCAAGATTGGCGTATCCGGCGAGATAACCGCAAATATTGCCGATGCCTACGAACCTGCTGGCCATAGCATTTGCCATTTCTTCAAGGCGTTAGTAATCGATGGCGTCGATGTATTGGGGCTTTATCGGAGGAGTACATACCTTGCTGGTGAGTGGGCGCACAGTCAACGATGAAGGCGCGAATCGCTGCTTGGACTGGAATTGACAGGTCAGCAGGGCACATAGATTCAGGTCGGGGATTGCGAGTGTCATACCAGTATTGATGGCGAAATCAAGGATATAGATCCAGAGCACGGCGGTACAAATAATGCACAACTTGACGCTTTCGGACTGAGGGTCGGCTCCAAAGAGCCCGAGGATGCCAGTAACAATCTCTCGGGTCCAGGCAAGGAACATCAGCGAGAGTATCGTGGCGGCAGCACCTCCGAGCATGAAGGGCTTGCGCTTGCCCCAGCGGATGCGACAGTTGTCACTCATCATGCCGACGTATGGTTGCACCAAGGTTCCCGAGAGAGGACCAGCAATCCAAACCAAGGCCATCAAAGACTTGCTGATGCCGAGAGAGAGCAGATATGGAGATCCGTTGGACATCTCAACTGACCAAGCAATCTGCAGGCCGCCGATGCTGATGGTCAAAAGGATCATATACCATACGCTCTTTGTGGTTTGGAACTCGTCGGCCGAGTCGGCACCTTGATCGCTGGAGGAGCCATCCTGATTATCGACTGGAGAGAGCAGTGGCGACTGTTCGCCGACAAGGAATTGCTGATTTGTGTCTTCGCTCGCACCGTCGCGACGACCGGTACTGAGGCGTGATGCCGGCTCTTCGCGACGAGATTTGGGCTGTTCCGATTGTTGTTGATGGCCTTCGTTGCCTGCGGGGCGGGCCCGGTCTGGATGCTCTGCTAATGACGACGTCATGCGGAGATGTGGGCTATCGATGCGTTTGGGTGACCTGCGTCTCTCGATCGCGCGTAATGGATGCCTTTATAACGGCTAGGGATAGAGTATTGACGAGTCCCTCTGCGCTGAGCTGCTGGGAAATAAAAACGGTTTGTTGCGATGCGCAGTTGGGTCGGGATTGGGTTGTTGAGACGGGAGGGTTATGTAGGTCTGTAGGTAGAAGGAGAGAAGTTGGTGTGTTAGTGTTTGTTAGAGGAGGCAATGAATAAGTGCCCTGCCGCGGATTACACCACCGTGGTGGCCCAGTGCCCAACGAGCGATTCGCCAGAGATATCGAAATGTCCTTCGTGTTGAAGCTAGGTAGGTACTTACTGCTGCTCCACCAAACAACATGCAGTTAGTCTTTCAAACAACGTTAAAGGCGAATCTAAGGTGCAAAGTGATCAAATTGGGCAAGAGCTGACCAGGATGTTATGTAATGAGCAAACGATCAGTTCCCAACATCACACAGCTTGGTGCTCAGGCGAGCTTGTCGCTTGTCCGTAATCGTCACGCGGGCAAGTCAACGAATGCCACGAGACCGTCGTGATTCGATTGGATCGATTGCTGCGAATCTTCGACTTGCTGAATGAGGGTCAAATGAGGGGGAGACAGACACAGGGCAAGTCGCAGACCCAAGGTCGGACAGGAGAAGCTTAAAGGCACAGAAAGGGTCAACGAGATGGTCAAGAGAGTCTAAAAGAGGTCTAGACTATGAGACAGACGCACTAACAATTACAAGGCTGGGGCAGCACAGCCAAACCGAGCGATGAGACATTCATGCGACGAGATAGGTACGTACACCCACGTCGCCCGGGCGCCCGTCACGGTGTCAGCACGCGGCTGCTTGGCGATGAAGTCCGCAATAACAGCAGGCATCACCAAAGTCGTCGTCGTATATGATCGTCCATACCACAATCATAACCCACAAAAGCAACGCCAGAAGCCCATATCTATTGATCCAGATCAAGAGCTGGCTTGGATGTCCCCTGCTGCTTTTTGTCGTCCTCTCAGTCCTACTACCTTCGGTTCATCGCGGGTCTAGATTCACAATTATCATACGTTTCTTCAAGAAAGCTTGCAAAAGCTCGTGATGGCACATAGCATCTTAACCGACGTACTGGCAGCTTATGTTGCAACCGCTTGCGTGCCGTACATTGAATCAGCTTCTATACGAGGAATAGGGTCCCAGAATCCTTGTATATGGGAAATCGACATTCGGGCCATAAAAGGACAGCATCTGTCAAAGGTAACCAGTCTCTTCGTCAAGCTGCCTTATCATTGTTGCCCTCCCTGGACGGCCTCAACTAGAACTTCGATCCGTCGTCTTCCCCCCACCCCACGTCGCAAGCATGGTCGCCAGTCCCAAAGCTAAGGAGGCAATGCCGGCTCCCGCCTCACGACCGGCGGCGGCAGGGGGGCCGCCAGTCCCGATCTCGGCCCCGCTCACTGCCGAAGCTGCAGGCAACTTGGGCATTCTCCTGCTTCGCATTGGCAACAAGCACAGGGGGAAGATGCCGCCGACGATACGGACGATACTGCCTCCACCATCGGCTCCCTTCCCTCCAGCACCGCTTCCCTCTCCCAGAGCATCTTTGAGTATCGTAAAATTTTTGGAAGGACTTACCACAGCGACGTTGGCAATGCTGAAGCATGGCAGCCCAATGACGCGCGTCACGCCGAAGCGATGGACATCTTCCATCACTTGAACACCCTCATCCTCTCCGGAAAGCTGTATACCGCCCCACTTCCAAAGAAAATCCAGAAGGCCGTCGACATTGGAACTGGCACAGGCATTTGGGCCTTCGACTTTGCTGACGAGTTCCCTGAAGCCGAAGTCATCGGCACTGACGTCTCGCCCATTCAGCCTACCTGGGTTCCACCCAATCTCAAGTTCGAAATCGATGACTTGAACCTTGAATGGACCTGGCCCGACAACACCTTCGAGTACATCCATTCACGCAGTTTGATTGGTGTAGTCGAGGACTGGGAGGGGTTCTATCGCCAGGCTTTCCGTTGTTGCAAGCCGGGCGGTTATGTTGAAGATGTTAGCAACTCCGTCATGGCTTTCAGTCTGGATGGAATTGTGAAGGAGGGCAGTGCCCTTGACCAGTGGGGGAAGGTCTTCTTTGAGGGCGGAAACAAGTTCGGAAGAACCTTCAAGATTGTCGAGGATGACATCCACCGAAAGTGTATGGAGAAGGCTGGCTTCGTTGATATTGTCATCAAGGACATCCAGGTGCCTGTTGGCGCTTGGCCCAAAGACAAGACACAACAGGAACTGGGAATCTGGGCCAAGATGGCGCTGGAGTCAGATCTTGAAGGATACGTCAATTACATCTGGGGCGTTGTGCTGGGCTGGACTCCTGAGGAAATCAGCACATATTGTGCCGCGTTCAGGAGAGAGCTGAAGAATACCAGAATTCACGGCATGTACACGACTCGCGTCGCGTACGCACGCAAGCCAGAATAGTTTCAACAATAACCTAAATCAGCAGTCAGAGTAGGAGGTGACCTAAGCTTGATGTGGGCGTACTTTGCGTTCAGTTCGTCCATAGACGGCCATCCATACTGGAGCGAGAGAGCCAACGAACGTAGCAATTTGTACTAAATCGACGCATGATAATGAGCTGGTGTAACAAACAGATGGTCAGTTTGGGAATCAATGTTTTATTTGCAAGCCGTCATCAACTATTCCACAACTCGCTCATTCGGACAGTGCGGCGTCAAAGCGTGAAAGTAATGTCGTAAGAGGGAGGAGGGACGACGGTGCTCTCTATCTCAATCCTATAGCAATCCAAGACAAGATAAGCACGAGGCAGTAATACATGCGCCTGACATGCATATCCTGCAGGGGACTGTGAATGTTTTGCACAGTATAATGAAGCAGAAGCGAATGATGGAGGGCAGGGGGAGACTTCGATTTGTTCTCGATGTTTTGCGCCGCCGCGCGCTAAGGCCGGCAGTCAATACCTAGGGCTAGGCTTTGAATGTGTGCAGTCAGTTTGACAGTCTCCTGTCGTGGGCAACCATCACAAGTCCCTTTTGGCGGGAAATGCAGTCTTGATGTTTCGTTCTGGGCAATCTTCAAAACTTTGAAAGTTGCAGGGAGATCCCCAGCAAGAGTGGTCACGCTCCGGCAATTGCGGACTAAACTACTGAATGTATAACAGGAATAAATTGTTCACATAGTCAGCAACCCTATACACGCAGTATGTCATGTTCAGTTTTTTATTTTCCACCTCGACTACAATCTAATGTTGGCTTTTTTTATTTTTCTCTTATTTTTTCTTATTTATTTTTTTCCCTTTCGGCTTGGCTTGGTACTCCTAGTCTATTGGAAGACACTTAAACGGCTTTGTCCTGAAACCTACATAGTTAAAATGGAAGGTTAGGTATAGCTCGGAAAGCCATCAACACGATGCACTTTCCATCTTCCAGAAAGAGCATATTCAAGGTTAGTTCACGCTTTGGTCATATCATGAAGCGAGTGATCAGACAAAAAGTCCTAGGGAAGCTGGCTCGGGGGTCTCGAGCTAACAAACAAACCAGTTAGCCAGTACATATTGGACTGTACGTAGGATTGTGGACCGGCATCATGTGGAGACTCAAATGGCCGCAGATATGGAATGGACTCTGAAACGTGAAGGTGGAGGGGTTTCCGACTCCGGCGAGACTGGGTTGGGGTTTCGATGTTCAAGTCATGGTGATCCCCCACATCAGAGTTTTCCGGCTCGACTTTACTCGTGGTCGGAAAGCCGCAAGAAACCTCCTGACACCTCAAATAAACCACATGTGCGCTCTTGACATCCATACTCAGCGATTCATAGACACCGGTTACAATTGATCACTTTTATATGTTGGTAGGAGCTGAGGTTAGACTTGTCGTTAAGTTGTGCTCTTGTCCAAAGGCCGTCCACAAAAAATTCGGGTTACATTGTGTGACTCTGCGGAGCTCGAAGCATTTGATGTCGCCAACTTGAGCCCTTTGAGCAATTGATTTTTGGTGCAGATGTTGTATTTTCTGGCTTCACTCTTCACAAATGTGAAGAATTCCTCAACGAAACCCTTGCAAATAACTGGATGTAACAAACATTTGAGCGTCTTTCCCTGAAAGGCCGCCATAAATTTCTTCATTGATTGAGTTCCCCTTTATCGGCACAGGCTTTGACTCCTCGAACTCTCTATATGTAGTGTGATCTCTACACTGTACCTCTCTAGTGTATCTCGTATGTAACCGACCGCAATGCAGTTAGGATAGGATTGCGGATATCAGTGATCAGATGCCACATGTCCAATCAAAGCTCTCTTCTTGCCAAGCACAGACACCCGGTCCCTGCCCCGCTATGCACCAGCCTGAAAGCGCGACCCAACAGCGGGCACGCCTTCAATCTGTCCAACTTTTGGCGACTCTGGACAAACACCAACAACATCTGGACCAGCATTCCAAGGAATAAGGTCTGATGTCAAGACCGTCGACCTAGACAGCTGTCATTTTCACATCTACAATCAATCAAAGCTTTCATGGTTTCGCAGCACCTTCGCCGCTGCTCTCCGTCGAGCTACATTTACTTCTCTCCCCGACTCGCCGCAGTCCGGGCAACTTGCGCCAAGCTCGAAATCACCAGTGTCGCCCTACAGAACACCACCACAACCTTACGATGCTCTCCGAGGTGATAGCTGGCTCCCTGGCGGAGCTCGCAAGTATGTTCAACTTTCCTCTTTGCGCCAAATTTGGCCCCTACGGATCGATACTAACGTGTGATCGTGTCCAGAGAGAGATGAAGAAGACCCCGGGGGTAAGGCCAATCCACCTCTTGATGTACAGCGCTTCCAGAGAGGCTAACGAGACGCAACAACAGCCGAAAACCCGACCAAACAGGAGATGTACTCTGCAATGGCCATCTTCATCTTCATCTTGCTTCTCATGACAGCCTTCTTCACGAGTTATATCATGCAGGAGAGGAAGATTCAGGCTGTGCACGAAACCGTTGTGTCTATCTTTGCCGGTATGATGCTATTCCCAGACCTGCCGTAGCCATACGCTTACTGACACCGACTCTCATCAGGTATGGTCGTTGGTCTCATCATCCGAATCTCCGACAGCGACAACATCCAAAGCTTGCTTAGCTTCAGTCCGCAAATCTTTTTCAACCTTCTGCTACCTCCGATTATCCTCTCGTCCGGCTACGAATTACACCAGGCGAACTTCTTTCGGAATATTGGCACAATTTTGACCTTTGCTTTTGCTGGCACTGCAATATCGGCTGTCGTCATCGGTGTGCTACTGTGGTTGTATACCAGGATCCCGCTCGAAGGGCTGGAGGTGACCTTTAGAGAGGCAATACAAGTTGGTGCGTCTTTGTCTGCCACGGACCCCGTCACGATTTTGGCAATCTTCAACTCCTTCAAGGTCGATCCGCAGCTGTACACGGTTATCTTTGGCGAATCGATCTTGAACGATGCTATTGCCATTGTTATCTTCGAGTCGGCGCAACATGCGGAAGGAAACGGACAGCGAATCGGCGTAGTCAGTATCATCCATGGTATTTGGTATTTCTTGAAGGAGTTTTTCGGCAGCTTGGCAATTGGATCTGTTGTTGGCATTTTGGCTGCCGTACTTCTCAAGTTTACTTACCTTAGGCGGTATCCCAAGATGGAGAGCTGCATGATTGTTCTGATTGCGTACTCGACCTATTTCTTTTCACAGGCCATCCAGATGTCCGGTAAGACCTGCCACTCCTTATTTACATTTTCCAGGACAAATTCTGACCCCGCAATAGGCATCGTGTCGCTGCTCTTCTGCGGCATCACACTTAAGCATTATGCATATTTCAACATGTCACGCCGGACTCAGCTGACCACCAAGTTCTTTTTCCAAGTCCTTGCTCAGCTATCTGAAAATTTTATCTTCATTTATCTTGGCTTGTCACTATTTACGGAGAAGAACTTGGTGTATCAGCCTCTTCTGATTATCATAACAGTCCTATCGGTATGCGCAGCAAGGTGGCTGGCAGTTTTCCCTCTGTCGCGACTCATCAACTGGTTCATTCGATACAGGGCTCGGCGCCATGGCAGGGAAGCTGCTGATGTATTGCCTTACAACTACCAAGCGATGCTCTTCTGGGCAGGCTTGCGTGGTGCCGTCGGTGTGGCTCTTGCCGCAGCGTTCACTGGCAAGAGCAGGTTCGCCTTGCAAGCGACCGTGCTTGTTGTCGTTGTGCTCACTGTCATTATTTTCGGTGGAACTACCGCCCGCATGTTGGAGATTCTTGAGATCAAGACTGGTGTTGTTGAGGAAATTGACTCAGATGACGAGTTCGATATCGAAGCCATCCATGGCGGAACTTGGCACAAGCGGTCAGGCACGGGCATCGGGTTCAGCGCCCCTCGTAGGGGGTCAACCGTGCCATTGGGGAACCTCGATTCGGAGAGGAATGGAAGTCCCGGTAGCAGGAGCGGGTGGGCATCTGGACATCGATCCCCGAATCCCATGCCAAGAAGACAGTCGAGCCGTCTTGATGTCAAGAACGGCAACGACCATGAGAGGGTGGATTTACTGGGAGTCTCAGGGAACAATACCGACTCGGAGATTGGTAGTGATATCGACACGTCAGATTTGCCACCACCCGCTCCCAGAAGGAGACCGAGTCCGATACCGGGAGGTGGAGATGCGGATCTGGAAGCTGGACCTGGCGAGCGTGGCAGCGGATGGAATAGATCAACTTCTAACAACGAAGGTGGTCAAGGTCTCAGTGCCACAGCTGCTATTCGACAGCTCTTTAGCAGCGAAGATCCAACGGCACTGTTCAGACAGTTTGACGAGAACTATATAAAACCGAAACTCTTATTAGACGGAGGAACAGGAAGGGGAGGACACGGTGGTCCCTCGGGGTCTGGCTAGGAGCATAAGGCCTGACTAAAATATGTCGTGAGTTGTTACAGCGAATGAAATATATCATGTCTACTCACCATGTGGTGACTCTATTAGTCGAGCACGCCAGTGTCTCAACATCCCTGGTTCCCGAGGGCAAAGGAGTTGTTCAATAACGGACACTCTGACTTGATTTGCGATGTCGACTCAACTCATAACGATTGGCACTGTGCTCTCGAAGTAGTGTAAGCTTAGCTGGAGTTGTTCTTTGTGTGGGATACGCCTTGTACGAATTATTGTGAACCCAGACTGCGCCATTGGGATACGCAAGCAGTCTGACGAGGCTCGAACCTTGAACACCTACAAGAACAAAGCCACGGCGTGCAAGTAACACACAACTAGCGAATCACAATCGCGGATTCTATCCCTTACTGGTAGTAGCTGCAAACTAGTGTAGTGTATGTATTTAGGATTGGCAATTATGCCATTTTCGTGCCTGATCAACTCGGATGATTTTACCGTTGGTGATTGACGAATGACTCGTTTGCTAGCAAGAATCTCCCTGAAAGTCCGTTTCAATCGCATGGCCGCGCGTTACGCATCCAACCGACTCGGCGAGGAGACGCTCGGAAAGATTTAGAACCTGCACTGCCTCGTTTTCGAAAAATGTCCAACAGCCAATGGAAATCCATTCTGCCTTGTGAAAGGATCAACATCAGCTTGAAAGTCTTGCCGCTCCCCATCCTGGAAAAATAAAATAAAGTGCATACGCGGAAAGGTAGAGCAACTGACACCCGCGGCCAACAAAGTGATAGTATGACATGATTGGAGTGCCGCTGGCAACGTTGACGTTCTCTGCAAGGCCCCGTTCTTTGGTGTTGCAGCGCCCCGGGCTCACTGTGCATTTCTGGTGGATCCTAGTCACATTCCTCAGCCTGCAGGGAGCTCCAGCCCTGTTGGAGGAGCCACCACGACCGGGAGAGTGGGGTGTGGGGTTCCTGCCCACTTCCTTGTAAACATGGAGCTCGTGGCCTGGAAGGAATCCCGCTTGGCGTTTGGTCATCAGGGCAGATTCGGGGACGGACAGGGGTTGGCGGGGCAGCGTCTTGGAACTCCATCTGATCTTCTGGACTTCCTTCCACATACATTACCTCTACTATGACTCCCTTTCTCCATTGTTCATCTTCTCTTGTTTGCGTTTCTTTTGTAGATTGGGTCTTTTGCTCATTGTTACCAAGACGAGCTGGAGGCTACTTCACCTCGAACACGAGACTAGGTTTACACCAAGTTTACACGCAGTTATTGCGCCTGTCAGGATTACATCACTCCCGGAAACTTATATCACCTGTCGATACCTATAGGGGCACTTCCAGCCATCGAGTGAATCAGACAAAGCAATACCGCGTCGAGGAGAGACATAGCTTTTCTGCAGGGATCACTGTAAGCTAGTACCCGAGACAGCTTCATCTCCTCCCCAACAAACGATGCTCGACGAAAACTTTCCCACCTTCCGCTCCCGCCCGTCCCCGGACAACCCACTCTCTTCCATCCTATTTTTTACACAGAACGGCGCCGATCCTAGCCCCGAGTACATCCTCCGACGGGCCGACCCGGCCCTCCCGTCCTCGCGCAACAAGTATGCCGCCGCCCTCTGCGGTCCGTTGAACGCTGACGTCGTCTACGCCGAAGTCCTCGTCACCCCAGAATGGTCGCAACCCTCTATCTCGGGCGCCGAGATGCGCGCTCAGGCATTGAACGGCGCACCGCCTGCCCCCGCGACGGCGCTGGCCCCAGAAACCTTTGCCATTCAGCTGTATAATCCGGACTCGACCGTCGCAATCAAGATGGTGCCGGGCACGTGGAATAAGACTGACTCGTGGGAGTTTGAGCTACCGGTCCAGACGTTCAAGCAGCCATCGGCCAGCGAGCTGGACAGGGAGAACGGAGGATTGCCGCCGCCGGACTTGATGCCAAGGGTCATGTTCAGATGGAAGAAAGACAGCAAGTTGAGCAAGGATATGACGTGCTATATGTGCGGAACGAGCCTGGGAGGGAGGAGGAACAAAGAGCCGGATATCACTATTGCCATGTTCAAAACTACCACGCGCAGGGATGGGGAGAGCGTGATCACTGTCTACCAGCCGAATCTACACCGGGTGGAGGTGGAGGATCGCAAGGGGCTGGAGCTCATACTGTTGCTGGGAGCCGAGGTGATTAAGGACTTGTATCTGTCGCCGAAGGCTGATGTCTTCAACGTTGGAGGAGGGGGCTCCCCTGTCGGAGTAGCGGGCAGGAGGAAGAACTCAAAGCCCACCAGCACGCCACCAGGAATGCCCATCATGTCTGGTGCTGTGGCGACCAATGGTGGTCCAGCAGGGGCAGGAGGACAATTTGTTGCTACGAACGCGATCCGCCATCCAGATACTATACCCGTGACAGCCTCAAGCGCGACAAACCTTTCATCATCAAAGGCAAATATCGATGCCGAAACGCAACGGCTCAAAGCAATGGTTGAGCACGAGGAACAAGAGCGGGAGAAGCGTGAACGAGAAGAGCAACAGCGCATTAAGAGGATGCTCGAAGAAGAAGAACAGCGCGAACATCAACGAAGGGAAGCAGAGGTCGCAGCCGAAACAGAGCGGTTACGTAGAGAATACGGAATGGAAGGGCAGGAACTCCCATCGATCGTCCACTCCCCTCCAGCTGTTCAGAATGGAGGCACGTTTAGCAGCCCTACCCTCCCGCCACGGCAAACCTTCCAGAATACACAACCTCCGCCGCACCTCTTCCAACAGCCAAGCCAGGGCCAGCTGTCACCTACCACAAACTGGGGAGCCACACCCTCTCTGCCTCCGCGGCCCCTTAGTGTTGGTCCGCCGGGGGCGCATCATGTTAGTGGGAGTAGCAGTAATAGCAGGCCAGGACCATTTCATTGTGATAAGCTGAATAAAGTGTGGAATGGCGTGGTGGTACCAGCTCTGGATCGTGGTTCCGGAACTCCGGGACCTGGTAGTTCGGGAAGGAGACGCAGCAGCGGTGCACCGTACTTATCAGCGGATCAATCGAATGGCAGTGGTAGGTACGGGTACAGCCAGAGTTCTGCTGGTCTAACTGGCGGGAATGGGAGCGTGGGTGCAAGCGATAGAGATGGGGAAAGGGACAGAGAAAGGAGTAGGAAAATTGCCAAGAAGAAGAGTGCGCTATGGTAGGCACCTCTTGAAAGGGTAGTTGATACAGGATGTTTAGGCATGCCATGCCTGGCTTATAAATGCATAATCACATCTGGAAGGAGTTGGTAGGCGTACTGTAGCATATTTCACCCATCTAGACCATCACTGGCGCGGTCAAACGTGGATTTGTTTCAAGAGGATCTGCTATCATTATATCATGACGGCTTGAAGATACTGCCAGAGGCACCAGTTTCCGTATAAATTGTTGGCCCTGTTTTTCTGTTCTTCTCCTATAACTGAAACTGACATTCCTTTTGAAAGTAAGCGTCAGATCTCATTGCCTTAAAGACATATCAGGGCATTATAGGAAAAGATAAGATGTTGTCCCTTGCGAGCCCGTAACTTCTTACACTACGGGTGAGCCTGGCTGGCACCGGGATCGTTTGGAAACGTGGATGGAACAAAACAGGTGAAACACCTTACCGACGCTCGAGCTGAGTGGACGTTTGATCAAAGCTTCATACTAGTGACCGGGCTGTTTCATGATGTGCACCATGATGCGATGGCTTCTGGGGTATGAAGATTGTTACTAGGTAGTGTTTCCCCTGGTCGGGCCTACGCAAATGGTCTCGTGCTCCCAACCCACATTCAAAAGAGTAAGGTGGGTTTTGAGATACTACTGCACGGGAGGAGCATCAGGTAATGGTTTACACAGAGAGACTACGTTGCGTACATTCAAAGAACCTTTCTGTTCGCGTCTACGCAGGTTGCTTGCCACGTCCGTCCCATATCTCTCGAATCTACCCGTTCCCTACCTCCATACTTCTGCGTATCTTTCCTCATGCTTCCCAGGCGCAACCACTGAGGCGGATAGCAGCTTGTTTCCGTTGCGGCAACGCGGTGACACGGGATGAACGGGGTTTTGTTCTTTTGACTTTACGATTTTTGCTGGAAAGGATGGGAAGCTGAGGAGTGAGGGACAAGAACGTGAGGGGCTGCTTGACAGGATGGAGAGTGGGTTGGTTACTTCACAGGCATCCAGTTCGCATTTATCGGTTGATCATGGTGGTTGACAGCAACGATTTGTACGTTAGGAGAGGGCGGCTCTCCGATATGTAAAAAGTATATTTGGCTGCCGTCCTTTGATGCCCCAGAGACAAGCTGTATTGGCTCGTCATTCCCACAAAGCCACTCTGGCTTGGATTAGTGATCCGAACCATGATGCTCAGGCCGCAACATCATCGGACACAGCCAGAACGGCAGAAACTGACGAGCAAAGAGACAAAAGACATGGGAATATGATATCCCGCCGTCGCTGTCATGCCAGACAACGTTGTGTTCGGCTCATGAAGCTATGTCAAGTTAACGGATATAGGCAGCCCGACTACGACAAAAGAGGGTGGGATCGTTTGGTCGAATTTCCCGTCATGTCGCATTTAAGCCACAAAGACAGGAAGACTTGGTGAAATTTGGTTTAGGTCTTGAGAGATATATGCACCTGAAAAAAGATGAAAAATGGAAATGCTGAGTGATATTATGTGTCTGATGAAAAAAAAGTTTCGATTCGACGTTGCTGTTGGACAAATGCGAAGAGCCCACAAGCTGACGCAGTAGTAAAATAGCCCTCCCCTTTCGGACACCTTCCGTGATGGGATTTATGGGATGGTATTCCCAGCTTCAGTGCCTCCCCCCTCCTCAACCTAAGCCCGTCCAAGCCAGCCTGCCCACGTCACCATCGCTGGGCCACTGGCAGAGAGACTGGAGAAGACTAGCTGTGCCCCTGACAGGAATGACACTGCTGACAGAAGCTTCCCGCCGTCCAGCAGCGTCCGACATGGTGATCTCGACCAACTGCACTGCAGAGCAGAGCGGGGAGAGCTAAAGCGGGCAGCTACGGTGGCCCAAGTGTGACTTGGGTCGTTTATCCAAAAGTTCTGAAAACCTGAAGTCTAACCAGCTGGGGGCATTAGGCTTGCACTGGGGGGTGGTATTGAAATCCTTGTGCTTGGAAGATAACCTTGATAAGCTGTCTCAAGTCCCGTAAAGTCAAGTCAACTCCCATTACTTTAATTCTTATTAACTCCTATTGATTCCTATTGACTCTCATTGACTCCCATTAACTCCTATTAACTCCCATTGACTCCCATTGACTCCCGTTGCTTTATTGCTTCATTGCTTCCGGACGGGAGGTTTCCTTTGCCAAGTCTTTAGGTAGTAGTACAAATAGATCCTAGTTTTTCATCGCTTAGTTCAGAATTTGAGAAGGGTGACAATACAAATGGACCTTGTAGTTGGTTCTTCTCCAAATTTTTGAGTTGGGGTAAGGTGGCAATGCAAATGGATCCCGCCCATTCCCTCCTCCCCCCCCCCCCCTCCCTTCCCCTCCCCGGCCGGGGTTAAAAAGAAAAGAAGAAAAAGAAATGGAAAAGAAAAGGATGAAGACGAGAAAGGGAAGAGGAGAAAAAAGGGGCAAAAAAAGGAAGAGGAGAAAAAAGTGGCAAAAAAAGGAAGAGGAGAAAAAAGAAAAAGGGGAAAGAAGAAAGAAGGTAAAAAAGCTAGAAAGGTTGAAGTTTAAGGTCTGGGCGTGAGTGTTGAATTTTGTAAGTGTGGTAGAGGCGTTAATATAAAATAGCCGACAGCTGGCTGCAGATGGGAGCTTGGACCAGTTTTATAAACGACCTAAGTCACACTTGGGCCACCGTAGGCAGCAGAGAGCAAACAGGATTCAAGATTCGAGATCAGGGGAGAAGGAGTGGGGTGCAGACAGAGGTGACGAAGGTAAAGTACCTGTGAGAAACGTCCAGTGCGACGGAGCAATATCCGGACAGCCCAAGCTCCCAAAGCAACGAAGTGCTACACAGTGCACCGTTGCTATTCCCAAACTTAGAAGTCGTACCTTGGGTATGTACCCTGCTGTGAGTGAAGTTTTTGGTCCAAGGGAAGCCAACCAAAAGACTCTGAGGACGGCCGACTGAGAGCGATAAACTACCTAATTTGACCATCTTGGAGCCATCCATACCTAGGTAGGTAGCAGCCTAGGTTTGGACAATAAAATGGAGCCACACACTCAATCGGCCACCCGCCAGACCCGATACGTTGCGGCCACCTGCCTGACTGGTCGACCTGGGACAGGCGAGCGGCTAGCAGCTGCAGGCGGGCAATAGGTGGACCTGAAAGATGGTGTTGCTGTGCACACTGCACCACAAGCACCTGCCTCCCAAAGAACCTCACAAGGGAAGTGTGGACGGAAGAGACGCCCGTACTGCAGTCTGGACACAACAGCGCGCTCCAGACGGTGCAGCAGGAATGGAAACCCCAAGGAAGACAGTGGCAGGGAGTAAGATAGCTAGAGTAGCAGGGAGAGCAACTTCGTGATCTCCACACCACTGCACCGCTGCACCACCTACGCATCGACGCAGGCACTGCACCGCAAACGGCTTTCAATCACCATTCGCATCTGGGCCAAAAACATCCACCACAGGAATCCATCCAACTAACTCCACCACCGCGACAGGGACATTCAAGAGTTGCTGCACTGTCCACATCCCACTGTCACCACCGACCGGTCCCTAGCCCATTCAGTGTCTAGCGGAAGGTGTCTGTCATCCATTTACCTCTCACCTACCTCTACCTCTGGCCGATTTCCATCACTTCACGACACGGGAACCTGACCGACCGACGAGACGACAAGTTGCTTGTCAGTCAGACCCAATCCAAACCCGCCTCCGCTTCTCCTACCCGACGCTTGCTGTTGCTCCCACCGCCGTAATTCTCGTCAAATATTGCCCGTTGCTTCCTGTTGCACGATCCCGTCAACGTCTTGTTACTGCAACCAGCCAAGCTTGGAAAGCCCACCGCTGTTGGCCTAGTGGCAGCTCCTACCCGCCCACTCGCGCCTCCTCCTCCTCCTCCTCCATCCTACCATACTCGTCGCGGAACGGCTCTTGCGCTTCCCGTCGCTGGGAAACTGAGGCGCTCCTCTTCGTTTGTCGACATCAGCAGGACCCTCCGCTCTTCTGTCCCCCGCATGTCGATCCGGACGACGCAGCGCCCATCGCTGATTCCCGCTTCTCCGTCTTCGAGCCTCCCATAAAGAACGACTTCGGGTTTTCTTGACTCCTGCCGCCGCAGCCCCGGCTGTGGAGGCCCGGCAATTCGCGAACATGAACTTTGACTCGGGCACCGCGTACACTGAGTCGGACGCCGACGACGAGTATGAGCGCGATATTCACGGAAGCTCCCCTATCGATCACACCGATGTCGAGCACTCGCCCATCGATTCTGGCCCCCCCTCGGCCGAACATACCCCTACAACATATGGCTACCGAAATAGTGCAGACAGACATATAGAAACTTTGATATCCGACTGGTCTGCCGACGACTGCGCCGACTTCATTGCTTCGATTGGGCTACAGCAATATGCAGATAGATTTATAGGTCCGTTGCGATTACATGAGCAAAAGGTTGCATATGGCCTTGACTTCCGCTAACTCCACGCACAGAAAACGAGATTGTGGGAGAGGCCCTGGTCGCGTTGCAACATGATGATCTCAAGTCGATGGGCATCAACAGTGTTGGCCACCGCTTGATGATTCTGAAATCAGTCTACGATGTAAAGAAGGCTCAAGATGTTCCTATCGAGGACGACCATTACATGCCTCTCAGTACGTGTCGCGCCCCCTTACCTTGTGCAGTTTTCGCATGCTAACATACCAAACTTGCAAAGCCGCCGCGACCGAAGCGCTATCGGCGAACGCCACCCTCAACGACATTAAGCATCTCGCTGAGCAGTTGCGTTTGAGAGACGAGCGCATGAGCCTCTTTGAGCAAGACCTGCGCCGGTTAACCGAAGACTTTAGGAGGTTACGGGAAGATATGCTACCGGCATTGCGACTCGCCAAGGATGCTCAGCAACCGCTACCAAGCGGACCGTCTTACGAATCTACTTTGTCACCGCCAGCTCCAGCCTCGTCGGCGGGTAGCCAGCCAAGTGCCGGCCTAAGTCGGCAATATTCAACCAAGAGGATCATGCTTGGGACAACGCCGAAAGCAGTCTCCCCTTCTCATCTTCAGACTTCCCACGGCCCGCCATACGACTCTTCTGCATCTAGTAGAGGTATGCTGTCGTCGTCTCATCTTGGCGCCATGAACGGGTCTAGTGCCAACACAACCTCCGGTGGTTATCCATCACCGAACATGCCATCGCCTACCTCTCCGCCCACCACCAACATGTCAGGCACTACCCTCGATCCGAGGTCTTATCGCGGTGATAACCAACCCCCATCATCGAGTCGGTCCACCTTTGGCGATAACGATCACTACGGTTCTCAAGACAAACAACCTGTGTCCGCTCCCCGCAGAGGACAGACGCCAGCACCTGATACCCCTGGTTCCGCGAGCAACTCGTCCGTCGAGATCTTCAAGTCATTCAGGGTCAGTATGGATGACCCATGCTATAAAGTTCTTCCGGCAGCGCTCAAAAAGTACCAAATCAACGCTCCGTGGGACCAATACGCTCTGTATATCGTATATGGCGATCAAGAACGGTGTCTGGGACTGGACGAGAAGCCCCTCATATTGTTCAAGCAGTTGGACAAGGAAGGGAAGAAGCCCATGTTTATGCTAAGGAAGACGAACAACGCTCCAGCTGAGGAACAACCCGGGAGCGCAGGACTATCGGCTGCGGCTCGCGGGGCGACGACCGTTTACGATCCACCCGGAGGTATCATATAAGCGAATACTGGGGCGGGAGCGAGACTGTAGTGATGCTGGGGTACTGCCCGTCCACTATCCGAGCCGAACCGCTGGGGTGCCTTTTGGGCCGCACAGCTTTTGCATAGCGTGCCGGAGGATTATGCTGTGACGGAAGCCCTGGCATAACTGGAGGTCCGTCGCTCGAGTGGAAATGTCTATGAGAAGAAGAGAAGGCTGAGTCGATGTTCAACGGTTCAGTGTCGCATGACCGGCGGCCAGTTTCGTCAGGTTAGCTCTTATCTGGGCTGGAATGGGCGGCTTGATAGCTGAGTTGGTGGAAAGGCAACCGCTGACATGGACTCCAATCGCCACATACACAATTCCAAGCATATTTTGTGTATGAGATCGGTATACCAGTTAGCATTGCCTCTTTTGTTATCTTTTCTTTTTAATTCATTGGTGAGCGGCATGGCAACGGGTTGGAGAAAATAGCTTACTGCGCAACGGGGGGAACTGGGAGAAGGAGGCGAATTTGGTGAACTCAATCCCATCCGAAAGCGTCGTCCACACCTTTCAAGAACAACACGTTTCGGAATCAACGTGCTTGGAACTCATCTGGTCTGGTTGATTGAAGCAACGCCGAGGAAGAGGAGGAGGACATCAAAGAGGAGAGGAGCCGGGGAAGGGAGGGGGGTCAAGTGGTGGGTTAAGAAAACTTTCGAACTTCTTGTGTTATTTATTTATCATTTAGAGTGAAGAGATTCCAAACTCTGGTGCTTCAACACTTTCCAGAACTGTGAAATTTATATGCTGGTGATTGCCGTTGCCCCAACATTTCCAACTCCGTCATGTCAAAAGACACATTGTCAAGACCAAGAAGCTCAGATAGTATTCATCAGGACGACGAGGACGTCCATATCTCTAAATTTAAATCGACAAAAAGCACCTTTTCGCTACTTTTACGCAACCCTATACCTATGCTGGGAAATGTGAATTACGTCCCATCAAATATTTCCATCACCTACATCACCCAACAACTCAAAGCCCTCAAAAGACCCAGGCTACTTAAAGCGCATTCCCAGGCTACTTAAAGCGCATTCCCAGCCTTGATAAAGAGACTGAAAATCGCTCCCAACCCCGCCATCCACGCAAGACTTCTCACAGGCGCAAACTTGCGGTTATCCTGCAGAAAGACATATACAAAGTTGTACACCAGTCTGGTGCCAAGGTAAAAGAGCGAGAGCTTGTTGACCGTCTCCACGGGCAACTTGGCGGCATTGGCGGCCACGACGCCGGCGGCGTAAAGCCCAATGGTCTCAAGCCCGTTGTTGGCGGCCGCCTTGGCGCGCAGGATGCGGTTTACCTGCTGTTTGGAGAGGGTGGTGTCCTTGGCGAGGTGTTCCTCTGTTTTGCGGGGGCTGTAAGGAGCAAAAAGAGTGAGTTTAGTGGTTCATTGTCGTAATGAAGTTCATGTTGTAGTGTATACTGAGGGGGACAGGGGAGGGGAGTGTGATTGGACTGGGAATGGAATGATGGAGGGACGGGACGGGAACTTACTTGGCCAAGTCATAGTTCTTACCGGCAGCCATGCTGGCGTAGAAGTTGGGGAGGAGGGCGAGCACAAAGGCCGCGGGGACCTGGTAGCTTGTGTGTCAGAGTGATTTCGTTTCGTCGAGATTGATGATTTGGGTTTTTTTCATTCCAAGGTACGTCATCTGCCTCAAGAAACCGAAGCGTGAAGGGAACCGTACATCGATTTCTCTTCACATGTTATGAGACAAGGTAGGTACATACCGAATGGAGAGACCAGTTGGACGAAAGATCAAGAAAGGGAGCCATTGTGATGGAGTTAGTGGTCAAGTAATTTCGAATGGGAGTTTTTGAAGTATTCTATTGCTTTTCAAAGTGCGATGCAGTGACGTACGCCAAATAAGCTCAGGTAATAGAGAGGACAGAGGCACTTTTATATCACACTTGCAGTGAGGAGGGGTCCACGATCGAACAGCTCCTTCGATGACGGATGAAGCTTGTGTGGGGGTGACAGGGGTACATGGAAGGGGAACTTCCTAGGGAAGAAGGATCGATCCACTCGGTGCCCCATGCCCCTGTGGTCCAAAATTCTGTAGCCATTCCTCCCGCCCCATGCGCCTCATGAGCCACTCCATAGGTATCCACCGAGTACCCCTAAGATCAGTAAACAGAAATCGTAGGCGCTATGCCGAAACATTTGCCTGATGCAGACGGGAGTCTCTTTCCTAAATTAGTCCTTGAAGGATTGCGCGGGGCCAAGCCTGCTATGATGCTAGATGGAGACGTATCTGACAGGCACGGATGTTTGCGAAACCACATGTCCAGGAATGAGTATCACATAAAGGATTTGATGGACTCGACGGTACTAACTATCAACAGGCGAAAATGCATCAAGACATTTGGCTTACTGAACAGGGTTGAGTGGGACACAGTCTCGATCGCGATAAAGCATATCAGCCTCCTGATATGGCAGTTGTCCCGAGAAACATCATTTCCGCTTCCAGTTCTCTCTTTGCAAAGTCTCTTGAACCGAATCCGCTTTTATTTCTCCACCAACAAACAAATTTTGAAAAAATACGCGGCGTGGCGTGTCCCTCTTGGATATAAGCCTGGGGAGACAGACACGCATCGACTTCACCGAACATCCTCTCTTCTGCCCTCTCCTCATTCTGTACCTTCCCCATCTTGTCATCGACCTTTCTCCCCCCCTCCGCCCTTCCTTCTTTTCTTGCTTCGCCCATCTCCTTCTATCCCTTGTGATAGAATAGGTATCCGTACGTTCCATGTCTGTGAGGAAAATGATGCGCCCATGTAAAAAGAAAAGGCATGGAAAAGAACACCCATTTGGTAATACCTATAACCCCTTTCTGAATTTGCGCAAACGTAGATGTGAGCAAAGTAGAAGAAAACCCAGGTAAATTTGCGGCGAGAATGCTCTTACTACAATGGAGGACATTGCCTATCCAAAGCAGGGACTAGATCGCGCGTAGGGTGATTGAATCGTGTGATCGCTTGTGACTCCTTTGTGAGTGGAATGATTCTCTTCGAAGTCATTGGGCTGGCAAAACGTGAGCAGGGCAACATGAAGCCATGCACCATGCTTTTCGGAAGAGGCTATCCGGCGATCGTGAAAAGCTGACGGGATGTCGTCGAGTGTACAATTAGTAGGCACGGTTGGTGCCACGACGGTTCTTGCTGGGGACAGTGACTTTCGTCCAGCCGTCATCTTCCTCGGCGGCGGCGGGAGTAGCGGGAGCCTGCTCCGCACCGGCAGCCGGGGTAGCCTGGGCGGGCTGGGAGGCGGGGGCACCGCCGTTCGCACGAGGGCCGCGGCCAGAGTCGCTGCGAGGAGCGCGAGAAGCGCGATCAGCGGGGACACGGTCGTTGCGGCGAGGCCCACCAGGAGCGGCACCACCACGAGGTTCCCTAGGAGCAGAGCGCCAGTTACCGCTCTCGGTGGCTCTAGTCTTAGGGGCCTCGCGGGGCTCACGGGCCTTGACGGGGAGCTTCTGATCGGCAGCTACACCGTTGGCAGGAGTGGCAGGAGCAGCACCGGGGGACTTGACCTCCTCCTCAGCAGCGGGGGCGGGGGCCTCAACGGGCTTCTCAGCCTCAGCCTTCGCGGCCGCGGCATCCGCTTCAGCCTTCTCAGCCTCGGCCTTAGCAGCGGCCTCCTTAGCAAGACGCTTCTCCTCCTTAGCCTTCTCGTCGGCCTCCTTCTTCTCCTTGAGGGCCTGAAGGCGCTTCTCCTCGATCTCGCGTTCGCGGGCGGCAGTATCGATGGGGCGAGCGGCACCGAAGGGGCTGGCCTTCGAGTCAGTCGAAGCGGTCGATCCGGCCTCGGGGGCTTCTGAAACGGTTCTCTTGGCGAGGTTCAGCTTAGGGCGACCGACAGGAAGAGCAGCCGAGGGCGCCGGAGAGTTGGGGACGCTTCCTTCACGAGACTCGGTAGCAGGGCGCATGCTGTTGCGCCATTGGTTGTCCTTCTCAGCGGCAGTAGGAGCGCGCTCGGGACGGTCGCCAAACTCGCGGCGGGGAGGACGGGAAGTATCTTGACGACCCTCACCAGGGCCCCAAGCAGCGGGGGAAGCCCTCCTATCGCTGCGGAAAGACTCGCCACGGGCCTCAAGGGGACGCGAGCGAGAGGAATCTCTGATTTGCTCAGTGGGCTCCGCGGGGGGAAGGGGACCACGTCTTTCCCAGTTGCCGAAATCGCGAACCTTGCCATCGTCGGCAGGGGCAAACTCTCTGGGGGCTCTACGCTCGCCAAAGTCACGTTGGGGGCGGTCACGTCCGGGCAAGTCGGGAAGGGGTCCTCTGCGCTCCCAGGTGGGGAGATCACGGCTCGACTCAGCCCTGTCGCTGTATCCCTGCTTGGCTGCGAGGCTGTCAATACCACAATCAAACATAGGACTCATATATGGGAACACATACGGGGATCGGCAATCTTGATGCGGATGCTACGACCGTCAAAGGTCTCTCCATCACGGGTCAAGGCAGTCTTGAGACCCTCGACATCCTTGAACTCGGCATAGGCAAAACCCTTGGGGCGCTGAGTCTCGCGGTCCTCGATGATGCGGACATTCACGACATCGCAGCCCTCAAAGAACTCGGTAACGGACTCGGCGGTCGCATTGTATGAAAGGTTACCGAGATGAGCGGTGAAAGGGGGCCTGGTAGGAAGCTGGGCCGGGCTGATGTTGTCGCGGAGGGAGGAATAACCTGTCATAACTCCAAGGTCAACACAGGGGCAAGCCGACTAGTTGTTGGAAGGTTGACCTACCGCGGTCAGCAAACGAAGAGCCTCCACCATAGGTGGAAGGGCCGCGACGCTCAGCGGGAGGGAGAGGTTGAGTGCCGGAGGCTAGACTGTATGTTAACGAAACAATATCAAAGGACGACGGAGGCGGCGTTACTTACCATAGGTGTCCTCGACCTCATCAGCCCAAGAGCCGCCGAAAGCTGTACGATATGTCAGTCATAGGTCTCATTAAGCGACAGGAACGGGATTGACATGACCACCCTGCTAGGCGGGCTGGTGCCTTGGCGTGGAGGGGGAGGGGTCAACTCACAGGGTTCGTTCAAAAATTCGCCCAGAGAAAGCTTCTGGACTTCCTTCTTCTTGGGAGCTGTTGTAAACCCGAATCAGCATGTGACGCCAGCGAGAAGACGGTGGGACGGTAGCGTCGGAGGGGCGCGAGGTATGGTAGGTTGGGTTTGGAGAGTGGTCGACGAAGTCATGGCGACAGTGACGGTGATGATGATGTCGTCGACGATGGTGGTGCTCACCCATGATTGCGGTTTTTTGAAAAGCCTACGTCGCGACAGACGATGGTCGCAAGCGTAGACGAGGGGGGGGGTGGTTTGCCGGAGAGGAGTATTCTAGCCGGCGAGTTGATGGTAATGACCTCGAGGTGATCCGAGAGCGATGGAGGAGGAGTGTCGAGTACCGTTGAGAGGACGCAGCTGGTGGTACCGACAAAGTGGAAGGGAAGGACGAATGGTAGACGAGGATGGGGGTCGCCGTTGGTTCCGTCGTGATTTCCCAAGTGGGTTCGAGATTCGGCGTTGCGGGCAGGACGACAAAAAAATTCGTCTTTTGATAGAAGGTGGAATCCAGTGGAGGGTTAACATTTTTTTGCTCGGCATTGAGTGGGCAGGTGGGCTGCGTGGGGCGTGGGCGCTGGTGGCCTGGTGGGTTGAATGTGGGAAAGTGCGTGCGGTGCAATGGCTGCGCTAGTTCGCATGTGGCTTAGCGCAAGTCTACTCACGCACCTCCACCTTCTTGACGGGACTTTAAAGTTGCGCGCTAGCAGAAGGATTCAGTGGTGTTCTTGCAGCGCAGAGAGCCCTGGTGCCGCTTTTGGTGCTGCCCGCATCGACCTTCCATTCCTTTCGCACCCCTCTTTGCGGGCCGTCATTCTGGGCTCCCCCGCTATCGTTACCCCGTACCTTCCACTTCACTGTTGCTGCTCATGGCCTCCCGATCCCTTCTCTAACGAAAGCCCGTCAAATAGTATAACTCCAGTCCCATCTCGCCTTCCAAATGGTTGAGGAAACCAAGGCTGGATTCAAGTAACGACCTAATAACCCAGAGAATAATAGGTACCTTACCAAATGCACTCTGAGTGAAAAGCCCAACTCTTTATATGGTTTAGTTCACGGGGCGCATCTGACAGGCTTAAGCCATCATCCGAGGTTCACAGCACTCGGCAGATCAGACTATAAAGAGAAACGGACTCGAGGAGTCCCGTCCACAGCTGGTCCCGTCCACAGCTGGAAATGAAGAGGATCGAGTCTCCTGTCCTCAACAAGGTGTTGAGTGACAACGTAAACAGTGCACAGATGCCAACCCTTTCAGATGATACGCCCAGTGAAAAGATGGATGATCAGGTTCCTTCCGTCTCTTACAAACGGCCGAATCCAGTCCTTGGCCCTGCATTGAAACTTGGAGTCGGTGTGGGTGAGTTAAAACCCAAAGCTACTTGACTTTTCTTACAGCCGATGGACTGACACTGCGGGCTTAGGAACTCTGGGTCTCCTTACCGGAGCTGCAGCCGGCATTATTCGTTCAGCGCCCCCAGGATTATATGCAGCTACAACTGGTATTCAGTGGTTCGTCCTGAGTTCCAGTTTCTGGGGTGCGTATGCTCTGCCCTTGAGCGTACAATGTCATGTAATCCATAGTACTGACCTTCTCCAGGTGCTCGTCAGTTTGCTCTCAATTCTCTGGCAAACGGCACCGATTCTTCCCCTTCGAGCAACAATCTCATAGCAACTAGCTCTGCTGGTGCATTTTCGGGAGCCACGGCGGGCTTACTTCGTAAGTTGAACAGTAGAGGTATCCCGAGGTGCGGCAACCGAGCTAACATATATGGCAGGCGGACCGAGAAACATCCTACCGGGTGCAGTCGTCTTTTCACTGCTCGGCCTGGGTGGCGCGGCTCTTCAGAACAGAATCAAGTCGAAAGAGCAGTCTGAGAGTTGGTTCCGCAAAGTTATTGACGGGAAATGGAGCCCTATCACCCGCATTACTAATGAGGATTGGGAAAGGATACTTGAGGAGAAGCTGCTGCGAGTCGAGACAGAAATTGCCGTCTTGGATGACTCGATCGAAGAACTACGCAAGAACGAAAGGCAGCCCTAGTTGACCGTGGTGCGCTTTGTACCATTGAGGATGTTTGTAGAACCAACGGCTATGATGGCGCATAGCCATGCCCAACAGCAGCTGAGCTTTTTGACGACGTCCTAATCACGGGTTCAGATTTCTCGCACGCTTCGAGAGGACGTGAATGTTTTCTCTCCACGAACCCCTTATCCTGTGCCCGTGTTTATGTGGTCCAAGCTTTCAGGGGGGGGGGGGGGGGTTCTTGGCATTTGGGGATTTCCATCGAGGTAACCTTCTGCAACATAGGTTAGAACTCCCCGGAATACTCCCATATATGGTAGGTAGGGTAAGTCGCCTTGTGCACAAGGAGCATAGACATCCTCCGTTACGATGTTTCAATTATGTTTATGGCGTACGCGCAGTGCGTTGACGATGGTTTCGGAACTAGACCAGCAACACTACACTTCGAATCTGGCGGGAGTGAAGCGGGAAGCGAACGAGGTGTAATTATTTAGTGGATCACGCTCCAATATAAAAATGAGCGAACCCGTCGGCAAACGGATGGAGTTTTGCTCGAGCAGCAAACCAGGAAGCCCCGGTCTTTAGGCAATGAACCTTTCCAAAAAGACGATTTTTCAAGCAATATTTACCGAGCAGCAACGGATGTTTCATCAGAGCGAAGTAAGGAAACAACAAACCACGAAAGTCCCAGCGGATGTGATGTCAGTTTAGTTAAGCTTTTTAGTAGTGAGTCAAGCTCCTTGGTGGCACGAATTGGATACGGACGATCATGAGGAAAAGGGGTATATACATGGGATGTCGTCGTGCGGTGGGCGTGAGGCTGGTGGCTCACTCGAAATAGAATTGGAGAAAGGTATCGAATCAATGAAGGTTGTCTCTGGGCAGGGGACCTGATGAAAGAGAGGTGACATTCCTGGTGTTCCAATGGATGAAAAACCTCCGGGAAGCGGTTCCAACTCCAGCGGAGCATCAGGCATCATCCTTGCCTAAAGAAGCTTAGTGCAGAGATCTCGTCTGTTGCTTGAAGCGTGCTCGCGTGCATTCGGGGCATTCTTTGCACGAGAGCAGCGCAGAGAGGAGCTGTGGGAAATGGGTTGAAGTCACATTCGGGCAGCTCATCCGAGCTGGGAATTTGTGCACATTTGTACAGTAGTGTACTATAGGCAGAGGTAAAATGGCGGTAGCAGATGGCAGTATGTACAAGCTGAGGAAGACAGATGCCGTGGCTGCCTTTATCAAACGGGCGGAAACGTCAAATGCCCCACTATCGAGACTTCCACTTTGGGGCACCCACAGTGCTGGGACCCGGACCCGACGTGGGCTCGCCCGGCTCTCCGTCGATTTGAAAGCGGGAACTTGTCACGCCTCCGGGCCAGGCCTCCCTCGCCATCCAATTCCAACGAGCCCAAGCAGGCGGTCAAGCAAATAAAGGAAGGGACGGGCAGCGGGCTTGACGGGAGCTCCAGGGCAGGGCTGCAGTCATCAGTTCAGGGCATCTCACCTCGTCGGTTGCCACTCATTGGATCGTCCCTCATTGCGAGCGGAATGGCGAATGGCGATTCGCTAGTGCAAAAGACCGTGGAATTCAGGAGTCGCGGAAATTCACTTGGCTGGCTCAATACATAGCCGGACAGCGCGGTGGATTTGGTGGAATCGGTAGAATCGGTGGAAGCTGTGGAATGCCTGTGGAATGAAGTGGGGATCCATCTCGTCAATTTCCCTCCTGAGTTCGGGCAGGTCAACCCAAGCCAGCCGGAAGCCAACCAGATTCAACTAGTCAGGGACACTTTACACTACTATTCGTACGCCTGTCTCTTTTTTTCCCTTTTCCGTTCTCAGAACCCATCCTCGAGCACCTGCTATTCTGCCTGTCCATCTTTTGTAACACCACGTTGCTCTTCGCCGGCAGTATCAGCAGCATCAATCTATCCCCCATTCAGCCAGCCATCATTAACATTGCCCTTCGAATCAAGCAGCCTCACAGTGTGCGCGCCCCCTTCAAGGAGTACTGCCAAGTTTTAGTGAGTAACGTACCTCAGCCGGGCCAGGTACCTTTGTACAGGTAGCTTCCCTTCACAGTCGCAGTCGAACGACAGCGTAGCTCCGTAATTACGTCTTCGACTCGACGGTCACCCTACGGATTTGAGTACCTGTCCGTCTACCATTCGAACAGCTACACTAACCACTTTGTCCGTACAGCACGACAGCACGGCAGACAGTACCGTAACATCACAACTCCAAATCTCCATTATCTTGACTACCTCTACGGCCAGCGGCACGGCCGGGCGCATTTCATGCTCGACACTCGATAGTCAACCAACCTAACCCGATTCCGTACCGTTCGAACATGGCATGCTTGACCAACACATTGCGCGACTAAGAAAGAATCCTAGGCCGGCTACGCGCCTGGCGCTGCATCGACAATGGCACTGCTTAATCCCACATTCATCTTCGGCATCTTCGTCCTTCTATACCTATCCTCCTTCATAATATTCGCCGTTGTTCGCATCCTTACCGGCCTCTCGATCCAGCGCATTGGCTATTTCTCCCTCCGCCGACTCGCCTACACACCAAAAGATGGCATCAAGATCGAGATTCGCGGACTGGGCCTCAATGTCCATCGTCCGACATTTGCCCAACCGACTTGGCTCAGTATAGTGGTGGACGAGTTGGCCGTCACCGTGGATGTCAAGGAAGTAGAAAAGAGCAAGACCAAGCACGTTACAGGAAAACCACAGGGCGACACCTTCGACAACACGAAGCCAGGAGAAAAGGGGGAGACGGAGCCGCTGCTTCCAACACCGCCACAGGTGCCCGGCATCAAAGCCGATACGAGTGCGGAGGGTCGGGGCAAGACTTGGAAACAGTTGACAAAGTTGAAAGAGAAGATTAAACGGCTGCATCGGAGCCTGGATTATCTGCATATGGTCGATATCGTCGCCACCAGCTCGACCCTTACTGTTACCGATGTTGGCAGCGTACAGATTGGAAGCTTTACCCTTGCCGTGGACACCCGAGACAAGATGGTAGATCGCGCCCGCTTCTTCCTCCAGAGCAGGTCGGATCAGCCAGGAGAACAACGACAGGCCGAGTGGATCATCACCATACGAAGCGTACTTTTTACTGCCCATGGGCGGCAGGCCACCGAAATCCTCGACGGGGCCAGTTTCAATGTTCATGGTTTCCTATATGGAACGCAAGACGGTCTCCGAGATGCCGCCGTAGGTCTCAAGTTGGGCCGTCTTCACATTCCCTATGACGATGTGCAGCACAGCGCCTTGCTTTATAAGAAGATCAAGGAACTTGCCGAACAGGTCGTCGGGGTCCAACCCAAACCACTTGATGAGTTTGTCGAAAAGGTCATACAGGAAATCGACGTTCCTGGGAGTACGAACCGGGAGTTAATGCAAACCGTCTCCGATTCAAAGGAGCTTGTAAGCTCCGTCCTCAGGGGCGTAAAGGAGGTCCAGTTTGCCGTCAGTTTCATCGGCCTCACCAAGAAAATCGAGAGTGTCAAGGCTGGTGGGACTCCTGTGGTACTAAATGCTTCCATGAAGGAAGTTGGTATCGACCTCCACCGCCTCGATCCCAAATCTCCGGCGCATAGGATGTACTTCCCCTCCAAAGACATTGCCCACGAGGCGTTGGCTGCCGCGCTCTCTATTTCGGTTGGCATTGACGACGGGCAAGGGAAACCCGAGAGACTCATGTATATCCCGATGGCCACCACCACCGTCAGAACAACCCTGCCCTCCAAGACTGTGGAGCTAGCCGAGGAGGGAACTGCTGAAGAGCGAAATGCAAACATGCTTTTTGCAAATTCCGTCGTAACATCCCCGTCCGTCGATCTCAACCCTAGGCATCTTCCGTTACTTCTGGCAATTTTGCGACCGAAGCCTAAAAGGAAGACAGAGAACCGGCAACCGCACATGCTCATCTCGCGACTTTTGCCCAAGGCTAACATCAAGTTCTCGATGCACGAACCCGTTTTGCGCATAACCCTTCCTCCAGTCGAGAAAGGTGTCGGCCCTGATGAGTTTGACCTCCTAATTTCGTCCATTTCATCAGTGTCTTTGGATCTTGAATCCTTCCATTCCGCAGTTGAGGAGCTACACTATTCATTAGCTGCTAGTTTGCGCATACAAACACACGATTTATACTACCAGACTTCTTCTGGTGAGAGATTCGACCTCCTCATAACAGAAGCATTCGACTTGAAAGTCCAGCTCAATGCTACGCCCGATGTCCACGTGGTTGCGCAAGGAAACCTCCAAACCTTTGCACTGAAGCTGGTCCGCGGAGAAATTGGCGATGGCTTACATCACATTGTGAGACAGCTCCGCCCAGATGTCAAGCCGGACAAGTTGGTCATGCCGAAGAGCTCCCCCAAGAAGTCTAACTTTCTTCGTGGCATACCCGCATGGCTGCTTCAGTTCCAATTCCAATGCTCGGATTTCAGCTTGGCAGTGGCTGGGGTAGATAAGGAGATATCAGAAGATGCCCGGGGCGTCGCCATTGAGCTGGAATCTTGGTCAATAGACTATCGTGCTCAGAGAATAGATGGTCTGCAGCGACGGTCCTCCAGGCGGCGAGCAAGCAGTCGCAGCTTAATACCGTCAGAAGCAGAGCTGATGAAACTTGCACCCACCTCCCCCAGAAAGAAGCACCATCACGAAGGAGATGGTCGCCGCGTTGCGGTCCATGTGAGGGGCTTGGAGGCGTTTATGGTGGAATCAGATGATATTGGAATTGAGCCTTTCCTCAGCATGCCCAAGCTTGAGCTCGCCTTCTCAACATTAAGCGACAACCAAGGCCCAGTTTTCCATGTCCAGGCTAATATGAAGAAGCTCCTTGTTCAGTATTCTCTATATCGCCACTACGCCGCCGCATTGGCTGTCTCTGTTCTGCTGAAGGCATTTGGAAGGCCCGGAAAGCCCACAGCGGCAGAACCGGCAACTCCCACGGAAGCATCACCCCAACGACGGGTGGTAGGTCTTCTTTCTCCCCTGTCAGCCGAT